AGCCATTCGTTGTCACATACTTTTTCCTAATGAAGTCTGAGGCCTGATTTAATGATGATGCAATGAAGGTTTTTTTTTAATGTGACAAAGCCTTTACATAAAGTAAGACAAAAACTGACTTATTAAGTTGTTAAGTTCTTTCTCAATAGTGATCTCCCCTCATTAGATCACTGGCCACATGGTTACATCAACATCACAAAATTTCTCTGCTGTCGTCAGTGCATCAAATTGAACAAATTAGAAACAAGACCTTTTTGTTTTTGTTTGAATGTAATAAAAAGTGTTTTTAAATTTCTGCCGCTGAGCTTGATTAGGAAATAAAAATGTAAAAGTGATTCAGAGGNCTGTGGAGGAGTCCTGGCTTATCGGAAAATGAGAGTGATCCTGACAGCAGTCCGGGCCTGTGAGAAGCTGTCAGGAGCCTTGGATGGAGTCTTCCGTACTGGAAACACACAGACTGAAATGTTGGGGGATATAAGTTGCAAACTGGACGTGATTCTGACGAGAATCACAGTCGGAAAGAGAGGCGAGGAAGTAATGAATTTGGAACATTGGCTTTTTTGCCATTACAGAGATGCAGTTACAGACTAAAAGCAGTGAGAAAATCAAGGCTGCTTGCCCCAAAACAATTATGTTTATCTTTTGGATCCCTGCAGCTGCTGACCTTGGCTCTGCAGCTATCAAAACTCCCTGGATGACACGTGAAACAGAGGCTTGACTTCCCATCCCCTTCCTGTATCATCTGTGAATGGATCAGTCTGAAGGTCATGATGGGTGGAGACAGAGAACTGAACTATGGTGATTTGTGCTACAACTTGTTTTGGACTCTGGAGGTCTTTGATTGGTTCCAGCATGGAGTATTAACCTTAAACGTCACTGGCTCTGCAGCATCCTACCCCGTACCATGTGTTTGACCCCCAGCCCCCTCCCTTCCTTAGCTGCCTTGCACTGTGCGAGTGATTTTTTTGAGCGTATGATTCTGTGTTTCTGTCTGTGTAAACTTAGGATCAGAGCATCTTTTTTTTAACTCATCTGTCCTATTGTGTGTATTCCAAGCTGCAAAAGGTAGCGCAGCCATGTTGCAAATGACCTGAAACATCTGTTCTCCCCAATGTTTGTTATGTGTGTGTAATAAGAATGGGTGTTCTTAAGTGCAAGTTCCTAGTCTGTGTTTATCACTGACAATGGCAATAAAACTGATTCTGATGTTTGTTGTAATTATTTTTATCAACATGTTTTTTGGTCCCTCTTCCAAAGGAAGGTGCACCTGGACCTGTCCTTCAGTCCTTTATATTTGCCAGGCTAATAGTTTTCTGCTCTAAAATATTTTTTGTCTGGATTCTTCCACTTCCTGTTTGACAGTCAGATCTATATGGGCAATGACACTTTAATAAAATCATTGAGTTAGACTCTAAAATCTCATCAAACTGAATGAATGGTAGTGTAAATCCTTTAAGTTGGGGGAGAAAGTCCAGTGATGAAGTCACATGACTGTAATGCAGCAAGATCACAATACAAATCCTAGAGCCACCTTTGTGACACAGTGTAACCAGGTTTAATATTTTTATATTGTACGAAACATA